TTTTTTATTAATAATTTATGTTAAAATAATAAAATTAATTTATAAGTAATTATGATAAATATAAATTAAATTAGATAATTATCCACGGATGTATCGTGGGTAATTATTTTTTATTAATAATTTATGTTAAAAATAATAAAATTAATTTATAAGTAATAATGATAAATAAAAACTAAATTAGATAAAAAAATTTAAAAATATATAAAATTCTTATAGTTAAATAAAAGTCTCTAAAAACGCTATGGTACGAAAAAGACATTTGTGCTTTATATATAGAAGTTAATTATTCTTTGATTAGTTACTAATTTTATTTAATATATGTTTATACAAATTTTAAATATAATTTATTAATTTAACTATAATATTTTTTTATATATAATTTATTATAAATTTAAATTATAATAATGTAACTTGTGAAATACACAAACTAAAATATTAATATTTTTTAATTTAGATAAAAATTATAGTATTATATTATATTGTAATTTGTGAAATATATTGGAATGAGAGGGATCCAAAGATTGTACAAGTATAAGATTGTATAGTTGAAGATGACTTAAAGAAATTAATTTGTACTATTTATACCAATGGATGCATCTACTCTTTGGTAGCTTATTTCTTAAGAACTTCCTAGTTAAGCGTGCTTGATATGGGGTAATTTAGGGATGGGTGACCTTCTGGGATGTTTTCCAGAAAAATGTGCAAGTGACGACAAGGCATACTGAAAAGTCTTGTGTTAATTTGTGGGATTTGTGGGGGTCAATCTTTGATCCTAAAAGCATATAAATATCTCAAAAAGGGTTACCCATGAAGAACTCTAATTGATGAAGGATTCTGACCAATGAGGAGTTGCGTGAAATGCCATGGGGTGGAGCTGCTAAAAAGGTCAAATATGAGGGATGGTTACACTAAATAAGGATGTTATTTAATATAATTTTGAAATAAAGTGGAGCTGCTGAAAGGTCAAATATGAGGGATGGTTGCACTAAATAAGGATGTTATTTAATATAATTTTGAAATAATTTTTTAAAAATATTATCAACAATACCCACGGATTTTATCCGTGGATAATTCCATCGGAAAGTTACCCACGGATTATAATCTGTCGACAAATGTTTCAGACGAGCAATTTTCTGACGAATTATTGTCTGTCTGTAATCCGTTGGAAATGAAGTGTTACCCACGAATTTTCGTGGGTAATTATTTTTTATTAATAATTTATGTTAAAAATAATAAAATTAATTTATAAGTAATAATGATAAATAAAAACTAAATTAGATAAAAAAATTTAAAAATATATAAAATTCTTATAGTTAAATAAAAGTCTCTAAAAACGCTATGGTACGAAAAAGACATTTGTGCTTTATATATAGAAGTTAATTATTCTTTGATTAGTTACTAATTTTATTTAATATATGTTTATACAAATTTTAAATATAATTTATTAATTTAACTATAATATTTTTTTATATATAATTTATTATAAATTTAAATTATAATAATGTAACTTGTGAAATACACAAACTAAAATATTAATATTTTTTAATTTAGATAAAAATTATAGTATTATATTATATTGTAATTTGTGAAATATATTGGAATGAGAGGGATCCAAAGATTGTACAAGTATAAGATTGTATAGTTGAAGATGACTTAAAGAAATTAATTTGTACTATTTATACCAATGGATGCATCTACTCTTTGGTAGCTTATTTCTTAAGAACTTCCTAGTTAAGCGTGCTTGATATGGGGTAATTTAGGGATGGGTGACCTTCTGGGATGTTTTCCAGAAAAATGTGCAAGTGACGACAAGGCATACTGAAAAGTCTTGTGTTAATTTGTGGGATTTGTGGGGGTCAATCTTTGATCCTAAAAGCATATAAATATCTCAAAAAGGGTTACCCATGAAGAACTCTAATTGATGAAGGATTCTGACCAATGAGGAGTTGCGTGAAATGCCATGGGGTGGAGCTGCTAAAAAGGTCAAATATGAGGGATGGTTACACTAAATAAGGATGTTATTTAATATAATTTTGAAATAAAGTGGAGCTGCTGAAAGGTCAAATATGAGGGATGGTTGCACTAAATAAGGATGTTATTTAATATAATTTTGAAATAATTTTTTAAAAATATTATCAACAATACCCACGGATTTTATCCGTGGATAATTCCATCGGAAAGTTACCCACGGATTATAATCTGTCGACAAATGTTTCCCAAACAAAATATTTTAAGAATGATAGAAATTAAAATTAAATTAATTCAAATATTAAGAATTTAAAATTCTTTAAATTTGTAAAATTTATCATCTAAACATACTCTTAAAGTGTTTGTGGAAATTCCTCAAAGGGAGTAAAGTTGGTCTGAATTTCTACTTTAAATGGAAACTTGGAAAGTGTAATTTATTTTTGGTTAAGTTGCTTCTCGTTATTATGTGTGCGGATGAATTATAAATTAGTTGAATAGGCTATATTTTTACTACGAAACCTAGTTAGCAAGTCTTGGGGGTAGGTCTTGTGTTAAGACTCAAAGAATGAGAGGGGAACCTCTGAAACCAGTTAGTGTGGTTAAATCTTTAGAAATTAATGGGGATCTGGGAATCCTTGGAAGGGCCTCTAACAAAATTATAACTTGGTGAAGAGTATGGTCCATGATGCAATATTGCTAATAGTAATCAATTCGGATAGCGGAGCAGTCGACCTTAAAAAAAAAATTAAAAAAATAAAATAAAATAATAAAAAATATATATATATATATTAAAAAAAAATTCTGAGAGAACATTTCTCTTCTATATAAAAAAATAAAAAAATAAAATAAATCTAAACTCATGAATTAAACATTTTTAATAATTAAAAGTTCATAGTACTCAAACAATACATAATATAAAATGTCTTTAAAACAAAGTGCTACAACTCTAAGTAAGTTAAAAATTAAACATTATAATTTAATCTTCTTCCTCGTCTAGATTAAAGTCTTCCTCTCCTTCAAATAATAAATAGCTATTATTCTATTTTTTTAACTTATATATATACATTAAATATTTTTAATAATAAAAATTTATAATAGTTAAACAAAATAAAAAAAGTTAAAAAAATAAAATATTTAAAGTCTTATATTAAATTTTTGATTACTTAAAATATTATCTAAATTATAATAATAATTAATAATAAAGAGAAGTTACTTTCTAAAAAAAAAATTAATGAAATAAAAAGTCCTTAATCAAATCAAAAGATAAAAGCTTCTATATAAACCCTTTTTTATATATATATAAGTACACCTCCCTTTAAAAAAAAATTAAAATTTTAAAATATTTTTTTTAATTTTTAATTTTTAAAATTTTAATTTTACATCTACAATATTTAATTTAGTAAAAGAAATTTCATACATCTTCTCTCCTTTTTTCAATTTTTACATGCACCCCTTACCTTTTCTTCATCTCACTTATTTTGGTAATATGTAAAAATTAAAAGAGAAAAAAAATACGTATAAAAAATAAAAAAATAATAAATTAAAAATTAAAGGTGTAAAATTATAAAATTTATAAAAAAATCTATAATATTTTATAATTTAAAAAAAATATAAAAAAGATGTACTTATAAAAAAAGAGGTGTATATATCATAAGACAAGATAAAATAAAACTTGGCCCAGCCCATTTGGCCCAACCCTAATTATTTTTCCACCCTTTCTAATCGTTTGACTCCGCTGCCTTCCCTCTTTGAAGAAGACAAGTCTGTAGATGCTGGAGAACACATAGCCACCATCGGAGAAGACAGAGTCGCTGTCAGAGAAGACAGATCGACGGAGATCCGCCAGAGAAGACAAATCGACGGAGATTCATCGGAGAAGAATACAGATCGGCGGAGATCCGTCGCCCACCGGCGATCGCGCCGCCACGCTCCGCCGCTTTCGCAGCCGCTCCGACCGCTCCTTCAAAGCGCTCCACAACGAAATTTTTGAAGCGGCACGGAGTCGCTCCGCTCCGACGCGCGGCGATTGCGGCCGCGACAACCGCTATTGAAATTTTTATAACCCGGACCACCTGGCACCTAAACAAATCAAGCAGCAAAGCCAAAGAAATTGAATTAAGGTATCGACTCATAATAAAATAAAATATTAACATTTCACACAACAATTTGCTCACCACAGAGTCCACAACGAGCATTCCAGTTTCACCAGCTGGAGAAGCATGACGTACTATCTGCATAATTTTAAAAGTGTAAATAATTCAGGGCATATTTGAGGGGAACTTAAGTAAGATAAATTCTCAACTTTACCATGATATCATAGTGGAAGGTTTTAAGTTAAAGGCAAATCAGAATTCCAATTTGATATTATTTTACAGGTTGATGCAACGTGTGTGATGCCTGTCGCCTCTTCAAAATGCTGACTGTAGATATGTAGCACTATGACAGTTTCTGTCATCACTATTTTTAGCTGCTCATTATACGTGTTGTTCTAATTTTCCAACATTGCTATCTATCTTAGTAGGAAAAACACACTCAACACAATGTTGTTGCTTCTGATGTCCACTCCCAACCCAATTTTGTGTGTTTAAACAGTATCAGCCGTGTGATTTGTTGTATTTTGTGGAAATTCAATTCTGTAATTGTGTGTTTATGCATTGGCTTTATTGCAGAAACGAAGGAGACATTTTCTTTGTGTAGTTACTGCCTTTCCTCTCACTCTCCGTTGTCTAACAGATGAAGATGTATGTTTCCACCATTTTTATTTGTTTCCAAAATTAATACACTAATTTCAATTGAGCCTTTCTCTTTTAAATGGGATATGGTTGATGTTTAATAGTTTTGTTATAGCTTGGAGGCTAATGCTGGTGCACTCACGAATTTTGAGGTCCTTCATTTCTTACGAGCTAAAGGAGCTTCAAAGGATCCAACAAGGGTTATTGCCAAAGTAGCGCAGTCTGAATACAAGGTTAGATCTGTTATTGTGATGTTACATAACCCATTTTTATAGGTAATTTTATTTTTTGTTTTCCTAATAGATGTCATTACTTCTAAGTTTTATTGGTAGATAAATGTGCTGCACATCTAACAGGTTTATGATTATTTGGTTAACACTGCTGCATCTGCTCAAACAAGAGAGAACATCAAAGATTTCTTGACAAGTGTTAAGCAGCATGACCTGGCAAAAGCTGAGGTTTTGAACATATTAAACACTAGGCCAGTTGCTGAAGTTGAAATATTCCCAGTAAGTATTAAAATTATGATTTTCCCATTTATTTTACACCTAAGCATTTAGTTAGAACTTAGAAGTTATTAGTTCCGCATTTTTTTTTGCTGTAACCACATTCTCTGCAGCTGGCCAGTGGAATAAGTAATAAAAAAGATATAATTACTTTTAATGGGTGAAAAAGAATAAGTAGTTAGTTGTTCCTCAACCCATATCTCATTTTTTTATGTAACCAATTCAATTTTAAATGATTTGTTAACCACTTGTCTGATATCAACTGCCGAATTGCTTTTTTGGGGAATCCTGTGATGCTATCTTAGTTAGTTAGCATTTACACAATTAGACTTAACTTTGACTTGCTTTGGTCCCAATTTGTATAGTGAATTAGAAAATGAACCTTAACGCAACGGTGAAGTGCTCATTTGTGGGGCAACCAAAACTATAAATCAATTTCAAAGGATAACAATTCATTCTCCTCGCATCCACTGAATGGACCTTGAAAAAGTTGATGATTACAACCTAGCTTTATTCTTTAATTAGTCAACAACGTAATGGTACTTTGGATCGAGTTTTGATGTTTCTCGTTTTTCTTCTTGTTTAAACGGCAGCTTACTTTTTGAACTAATAACTTACTTTGTGCCAGAAGTCTAGGGATAGTTATGCAAATCCCCTGACCCCTCTCATTTTGTTTATGAAAAAAAAATGTTGACTACTAAATTTGATTCTAGAATGGTGCCATGAATAAATTCAGAACAAGCAGTCTATAGCCCTAAAAGAATAGTTTATGGTTGGTTGATTGGTCTAGTTGGTGGTTAATTATATTTAAGAGGATCAAATTATCGTTCATTCCCGATTTCCATTGAAATTATGCTGCCAGTGTCGTTGCATCGGTTTTTATTTTGAAACAATATTAATTAATTAGTCTCGTGGTGTTATCATATCACCCGTGTTAATTCCTTGGATTGTATTATTCAACAGTAAGACTGATGTATTATTTCCACAACTCTGCATTGTAATAGATTTGTGGATGAGATCACTGATTATATATGAGGAGGAGCATTTGTTACTGGGTTTTAGGAATCTAGGTTCATCTTTAGTTTGAAATCTCACCAAGGATTAAGGAATTTTACTTGGAGACAAGCTTTGGTCATCAGTACAATACGGTTAAAGATATCAAAAAATGTTCCAAGTACTTGAAAACAACAAAGGCTTTGGCGTTGGCCATTTGAATTTGGGGATGATGATTGATGACTTACGTAGTTCTATTAGGGTTTGTTATTCTTCAGGTTCAGGGGCAATAATCCATCTGTTTATCTGCCTACATATTTGCATTCTAGAGTGACTGATGCTGATTATCATATTCTTTGTCAAATGTTCTTAATGGTGTTTGTCTTGGAATTGTCTATGGAGTAGGGAGGATGGGTTCATCAGGTTTGCAAGTTTGCTATGTTTGACTGTTCATTAAAAAATAGCAATGCGTGAATTATTAACGAAATTAGTGTGCTGTGTTATGTTTATAAGAATTTTGTGTTAAGAGTGTTGTTATCTCGATTTCTCCCATTCTAGGTAAGACTTGGATGTAGGAGAACTAATAACATGGTTTAAAATATTTAGTCTATTTGATAGCTACTAGTACTACCCTTGCGAAACTGAAATCAGTTTCATTACACAGATGATAGAGAATTGTGAGGAGCGTTTTCCAGACGAAGAGGTGAGTGAAATAGTAGAGCTGGTGAAGAAAACATTGCCACCACCTCTCATTATGAAGCAGGAAGAAACCGCAACACTGAAAAATGAACAAGGCAAAGAGATTAGCCAAGACCAAAATGAAAACGAAGGTGGAGAACAAATGGACACTAGTTAAGACGCTACTTTTGACTGCATGCCTAGTTTTTTGTGGGTCAAATCAAATCAATACAAGGTTTGTGTTATTTATTCCACAGGCAACTTTTGTGGTGCATACGCAGCCTTTGCCTTGCTTGTATGCTATTTATTATAATATTTTATTGATTGCTTTATTTTAGTACAAAAAATATAACTCTGTTTAGTCCCGCGAAATTGTTATGTTTCTTTAATTCTTTCAGATTATTTTTTTGAAAAAACAATATTCTAAAAGTTTAAATAGAAAAGAAACGGTCGTTTATTTAAACACGCATTATTTTTCTTCCATTTATGAATTTAGCTAGAATGTAATGACAATACAAATATCTTTACTATAATTTAATTATAGCTTATCAAGTATAATAAAATCATTTATTTTTGTAATACTTATTATAAAAGTTGTATAAAAAATAACTTTAGTACACCTAAGAACTTTTTAACATGTATTATTATTAATTACATAGATTAACTGACATAAAAAACCACTAGTTTAGAATATAGATTAACTAACATGAGATGTTTTAGTTGAGCCAATAGTTTAAAATTTAAGGCTCAAGACATATAGTTGTTTTAAATATTTAAAAACTTTTGTTATTTGTAATCATGAGTTCACAACGATTTACACTTCCCTTATTATATGTTTTTCTTTTAGGAATATTAAGCCTTTTTTTTTATGTTTCTAATTAATTGTCTCATTATAAAAATTAGAGGAAACAGTCGTGAAAGTAGCGAGCAATATCATACAAGTTTTTGAGAAAAAAAATATTAAACAAGTATTTAAAATATCAAATAAATCATTAATTTTTGTTACTTATTCTTATTTTAGTCGTTTAATATATATTAATATTATAATTTTAATCACATTTATTTAAAAATTTAATAATGCGAACGACAATATGTAATTTTAAGAGCTTATGAAATTTTAATAGTTTCAGATATCAATATGATAGCGTTTTCCAGATTCAAGCAAAGAATGATCATTTATTTTAAAAATTATTAAAACTATTCTTGGATTTTTAATTAGATTTTTGTGCAGAGGATTAAATTATTCAAGTATTGTTTCAAAATTTTTAAATTTATTTATTTTATCATATAATTTTCAAAATTTTACATGTTACCATATGTTAGTTTAACGTTTAACATTATTAGTTAATTGTTGATACGTCAAAAAAAAAAAAAAAAATAGCGAATGTGAGAAGAAAATGAAATAAGCTTATAGTGTGTTTGGATGAGAAATTTTACAAATTTAAAGAATTTTAAATTCTTGGTATTTGAATATTTTAATTTTAATTTCTATTATTCTTAAAATATTTTGTTTAGATGAATCAATTTAAATTTCTTAAATTTTAAATTATTAAGTTGAATATGATAATTTGATTTTATCATAATAAAATTGACTTTAAAATATCTTTATATGTTGAAATATATTTATATGTTGAAATTTTAAAATTAATATAAATATTAATCTATTTTTAAATATTTAAAAATTTTAAAAATTAATATTAGATAATATTTAATAATTTTAAAAATATTTTTAAATATCTAATAACTAAAAGAATGAAAACATAAAATAAAATATATAGATGAAATAAGAAAACAAATATAAATTTTTGAGAGAATTTAAAATTTTACTACTTGAAGGAATTTCAAATACTTAGATGAAATAAGAAAACAAATATAAATTTTTGAGAGAATTTAAAATTTTATTACTTGAAGGAATTTCAAATACTTAAATTTTAAATTCTTTGTAAATTTCTCATCCAAACAAAGCATTTCAACTTAAGGATATATAAATTTCTCAACAAACACACAATTAGATTTGATGAAATTGCAATAATTTATGTTTTAAGAAAATGAGTAGCATTTTAGTAATACTTACTAAAAGAGAGTGCTAAACTAGGAGCGAGTCATCATCTTCTTGAACTCTTCGAAATTGACGCTGCCATCGCCGTCGGCGTCGACGTTTCCGATCATCCTCCGGCAGTCACTGAGGGAGCACTTCTCCCCCAACCTCCTCATCACCGAATGCAGCTCCTTCGCCGAGATCAGCCCGTTCTTGTCCAGATCGTACAGCTCGAACGCCTCCCGGAGCTCCCTCCCGTCGCCGCCGCCGCCGCCGCAGTGAAACTCCCCGAACTCCTTTAGGTCAATGTAGCCGTCGCCGTTCTGGTCCAGCTCCGCCATCATGCGGCGCACCTCCTCCGCCGTGGTCTTGGATCCCAGCGCCGCCATGAGGTCCTTGAGCTCGGCGCTGGAGATCTTGCCGTCGCCGTTCTTGTCGAACTTGCTGAAGATCTTGCGCACCTCCTCGTCCATGGCGTCGCCGAGAGAGGACTCGGTTTGCTGAGTTGCGGTAACTCGCACTTTATAGGAAGGCGATTTGGTGACGCAAACGCGTTATTTGTGAAAGAAGGTGAGTAGTGTGTGAGCCAAACGCGGTGTTGGAAGCGGTGGAGGTAGTTAATCGAAAGCGAAGGGAGCGTTTTATTAACCACAAATTTGGACGCGTGTCACCTTTTCAAGCCCTGCACGAGAATCCAGATATCATGTCGTGATCCATTTCTGCTCTCCATTAACCTTCTTTTTTAATGTAATCGACAGTTACACTTACACATCAATGTCTTTATTATGTGCAGAGGAATACCTCAGGAAAAAAATAAATAAAGATATAAGTGAGTAAAAATAATATTTCTTTAGTCCATAAAAAACATATAAAAAATAATATTACGCAGTTTCTAATTTAATAATTTACATGAATTGACAGAATTGTAGTTATACTCGTGTACGATAATGGTTCCCACGAAATGTAAATGCTACGATTGTTTTTGTCTGTGGAAACAAACATGTCATCATATCCTGCTTTTTTTTTTTTAATACTCCATGTTTTGATTCCCGTTAAATTATTTGTAATTACGTTCAATTATTAATTAATACGATCTTGAGTAAATTTTAAAAAAATGATTTTAAGTAAATGTCTATATGTTCAGTTTTCGTTAAAAGGATGTTTTTGTTTCTAAAATTAATTTTAAGTTAAAGGAGCTTCAAATAAGTTGTGATGAAAAAATAAATTTAGAGATAAACACATATTAGGTTCATATGTAAAAAATGATAGATAAAAGATGATATTTTTATAACTACTAAGTAGGAGTTGGTGATACATAAAAATTCTCGGATCAAGTATCATATTATTTATTTAGGGACTCACTAGAATCCAATTTGACTAAAGGTTATACTTGTCTAACGGTAATAATTAAAGATTTACAAAAAAATTTTTTACCTCTAATGTCAAGGAATTTCCTTGAATAGATATATTTATCAAAGTAGTCTTATAGTTATAGGGAGTGTTAACTCACTTTATAAAAAAAAGAAAAGTAAGTTTGTGCAGAATCTTGAAGCATTTTTGCCCACTCATAATGACAAACATATATTAAGTTGATTCAAATTTAAAAGATATTTAAATGTAAATTGGTCAACATTAACTTTAATTAGTTTGAATTGAATGATATTTTTTTTTAATTAGAATTGAACTAATTTGATGATATTTAAGTTTATTAAGATTATATCATTAGATCATCCAATAAATTAAAAGATAAAATAAATATAATATATATTTTTTTATTTATGAACATGGTTTACAATATTTCAAAACTGTTAACCAAAGACTAATCTACAATTGAAGGATGAAAAATAAAATAATATAATTATATAATTGCACAACATAAGAAATGATAGAATTATAAAACTATAAGTTCTAAGCATTTCTGGAGAACCAAGTAGTAATTATCACAGAACAGAGAAGAAAATCTTAGATTTTCTCACAATATAAAAATCTATTTATTTTTAAATAATATAAATTCATATTAGTTTGAATTTTACATGTCCAAATATGATATATAGCTAAATTGATGTCATTATATTTGTAATTTTAAACTCTAAAACAAACGAATATCTGAAATTCAAATATTAACTACTTCACTTCAAAGTTCAAACTGAATTTTAGTTTTATAAAAATCAATTTTATTTAAAATTAATCTTGAATACAGTCGCGGCTTGTCTAAAAACAAACTAATAATTCTTGGTTATTTTGAGTGTAGGATAGGACACAAGCTGTCTGCAAATGGCGGTGATCATGCATGGTCACATGATCACATAGGTATAGAAGCCAAGGATATGGTCCACATGCTCACACATCACATGCCAAGATATGTGATCGTACTCATGAAATGTTTATTCATTTCGCGCCAACTAATTAGTGGACTTTCTTTGCCAGATGCACCTGTCTTTTGCCTACTCAAACCAAGAAATTTCACCAAAGATGAGGGACCCCTTTTCTATGTTTTTGTGATACACAAATAAAACTTATTAATTCAATTGTTCTTACATCAAACTTTCAAGTAATTTGAATCGTTAGTGTCGGTTTAATAATGAGATTGGAGTAATTTCTTTGGATAAACTAAAAAGTTTTAAGTACTTTTTTTTTTGCTTTTCTTTAAATCTTTCAACATGGAAGGGGACTCAAGGAATTTGGCATCCTTCCCTATAGTCGAATCAAACAAGCTAAATCAACCAAACATTTTGTAAGAAGGCAGATGGAGGTGACTTTGCTAATGTTTGTTTCATTGGGAAGTTGTCATATCAATATATCCATCCCAATTCCCATGACTTCTTGTTTAATTTTAACAGGAACAGAAAGCATCATGCTTTAGTGTGCTACTTACTACTTGATTACTTAGGCATAAAGCATCTATGCACTTTACTTGCAAATTGCCCAAACTTTGCCCAGAAGATGGGGCTAGAATTCAATTTTCATCCTCAAGTTTAAGAGAGGATTCTTTTTCTGTCCTTTCCTGTTTTAGATATAAGAAGTAACAACAGTGTGTTTCATAATCAATTAAATTTGCAGTTATAGGTTATAACACCATACTTTGTATTGTTAGACAGCATGCCGTGGGCTATGTATTGTATTTTTTGTACACTTTCTGTACATACTACATAGTGAAGAATGCTTTATAAGGTATCCCGAAATTCCAAGATCTAAATATCATTTCATTGGTGTACAAAATTCTTTAGCATTCATTACATTGAGGAGTGAAGGAGAAAGATAGTTAATGATCATGTTTTATCATAATTCCAGTGTTGATACACTGCTCCAAGATGTTGCTGATCTTGATTTTGAATTAGAAAGGTAAAATGAAAGCTGCAATTAGTGGTAGTCATACAAAAAACAAAATGCATGTCATAGATCCATATAAGAAAGTATCCATTGATCTGGTAGTTTGTGTGTTTTAAATTAGTAGTTTTATACAATATACCAACTCAATGTCGTCTATGGACCTCAACCAACAACATTCTGATTGAAGCTTCCTCTATGGCTTTCTACAGAGAGATAAATAGGTAGAGTATGTATTCTTCAATTCACAATGGACTTTCTTGTTCCCATTTTAGAGAAAATACAGACTACCGAGGAACACAAAAAGACACTGATCACTATAGAGCAATACCATCATCTCTAATGACACCAATCTAGTGTATATATGTTTGGATATTAGGAGAAGTTCAGAATTACTTCCAAAATAACAAATTCTTCCTTTTTTATTATATATTTTGTGTCTTAGAATTTAGGAATGTGCATTACAATCTCCAAAAAGTACATTTCTCATTTTATCCAGAGTCCTAATTATTATTTTCAGATAAATGAAGAGATTTCTTTTCTCATGATTCAATATTTATTTTTTTGTTGTGACCCTCTTCATGGCCCTTTAGAGACGATGTCTAATTGTCTATATTAACAATAAACAACTAATTTTCTGTACTGTCACATTCCGAACAGATTAAGAATTGACTGCATTATAGATGCATGCATGATTCTTACGGTCAGTATTTAAATAGAAATAATTTTAAATTCTCTTACAATAATTTTTTTATTAATCATCTTATATGTTAAATATATTTATATACTTTCTCATTTATTTTTTTTATAAAATATTAAAAGATTTCTGTTCCGGCCAAGGGAGCGTCTAAGGTTCTTCTCCTAGGTCAAGCCTCCAAAGCCAGAGCATTCAAGAGTGTAATCTGCCGTCTTAACTCTAGGGTTTTAGGTTTTATACTTTTTTGTTCATGGGCCACCTGGGCCTTGTTAGCGCGAGGATTTTTATAACGATTTTTCTTGGGAATATTTGATTATCAAAGATAGGCTTTTCATCCTTAATTCTCGGACCAGTCCAAAGGGTGAGACCCACTCGGACTTTGGCCGACCATACCCTGACCGAGCTCATCATGGCCGAGCACACCCTGGCCGATCTCACCATGGCCGAGCACACCCTGGCCGATCTCACCATGGCCGAGCACAGCCTGGCCGATCTCACTATGGTCGAGCACAGCCTGGCCGATCTCACCATGGCCGAGTGCACCCTGGCCGACCATACCCAGGCCGAGTTCGTCCAGGGGGAGAGTGAGATCGCGGTCTGACTGATCTTACCCATGTGAGAGGTTAGATCGCCTGCCGACCGAGAAGACCCATATTCAAGATTCATTGGATCAAAACCTGTAAAGGGTATCAGATCGGGATCCGACTGGGACGGTACACTTGCCTTCTAACCCTAAGCCTATAAGGCGCTAGGGCTTAACTGTCCCTAAGATCGAGTTTAGATCGGATTCCGACCAAACTCCCCCGAGATCACCCTCGTTGGAGGGAATCAGGTCAGATTCCGATTATTTTCATGCCTGGGCCAAAATTAGGTCGACCCTTTTCCGACTCCCCCCTTGGTGTGCCGATACGGTACACTTGCCTTTCATCCCTGAGCCTTATAGGCGAAAGGGCTTTAAGGAATTACTCCTTGGGACCGTATCAGAATTATACCGAGATGGTACACTTGCCTTCCAACCCTGAGCCTTATAAGGCGTAGGGGCTTAACTAGCCATGATATTAGATCAATGCCTATGTGAGAAGGTTAGATCAAATTCTGACTGAGACGGTACACCTCCCTTCAAGCATTGACTTTACGTTGTATTGGCGCAAAACTATTATTATTTTATTAAGCGTATTACTAGATTTCGATTCACTGATCATCATTATGCATTATGTGGGAGAGAATAACCGAGACATTCGTCGATATCATGAATAATGGAGAAAATAAACTAAGTTAACAAATTTCATTTTGGTAATACCATGTCATCCAAATTTCGATTGGAAAAAAATAAACGAAGTTAAAAACTCCATTTTTGGTATATCATGTCATCCAAATTCCGATTGGAAGAAAATAAACTAAGTTAAAAAATTTTGTTTTGGTATACCATGTCATCCAAATTCCAATTGGAAGAAAATAAACTAAGTTAAAATTTTTTGTTTTGGTATACCATGTCATCCAAATTCCAATTGGAAGAAAATAAACTAAGTTAAAAAATTTTGTTTTGGTATACCATGTCATCCAAATTCTGATTGGAAGAAAATAAACTAAGTTAAAAACTCCATTTTTGGTATGTCATGTCATCTAAATTTCGATTGGAA